TGAATCTCTTGGGTTTTATTAACGCATCTAGACTGCTAGCTAGACTAGCTGGAGTTGGCTAGTCATGCAAAGCTGGAGAATTTACCGGTGGTTGTTAACCGTGATAATAGATTTCAAGGCAGTGGATTGGAAGGGTTGCCTTGGTAGTTATGTGAGTGAGGATGTTTGACAAGCATGAGGGGGTTGGGGTTGTTTTGTGAACAGGATGCAAATGATAGAGCTGTAGAAAATTCATAGCACCGCTAGATGCTAATCGTAGGTATGAGAACTAAAGACCTGAGTGGAAAATTAAGAATTTATGCTGTTAGTGATTAAGTGCAAGACTACATATTTCATTCTGTCAAAACAGCATCAGGGTAACAGTATGAAGGGGGGAAGCAAAAAAAAAAAAAAAAAAGCTTGCATGATGCTAGTACCTCAGCCCAGGCAGTGGTGGAAGTTTCTAAAAGAAAACAGGAGGCAAAGTATCATGTTTTCTTTTCCAGAACGTCTAGTCTTGGCTTTGCTGACTTCCAGAGGGCTCTGCCATTTTTGCTTGGCAAGCTGAGAAAAATCAAATGTACCAAATAAACAAACAAAGAAACCCAAAAACCCTCAAGTCAAGTGGTACGGCTGGGGCAAATGCAAAAAAAACATGAGTGAGTTCAGCTGCGATCGCTGGAATTATCCTGTTTGTGAAACCCTTTGTACCATGCAGCCCCTGGAAAATCCAAAATCCATGGGAAAGAGGGAGAATTAAAATGGAGCACAACAGAGTGTGCAAAGTGTGTTGCTCCCCAGACAGGATTAATTCTGCGGGCCAAGCAGTGGCCATGGACACCTCTCTGATGGTCAGCATGTCCATTTTGACGGCATTTATTTGTGAGAAGTATATGTCTGTTCTGCTATCATCTGTCCATCCTGCCTGGAGAATGAAGGTGGCTCACCTGCCAGCATCTTTGGTGTAGTATTAAGCAACTTTGAGAGGTTACTCTAGCAATACTGAAAATTTGCTGCTTAAAAACTGAAATATTTCCATAAAATGAATCCATAATTGTTTCACCGTTTGTCTTCATTTGTTGTTTAAGCAAGCAAGGTTTGTAGCTCATGGGAAGGCACCTGGAGTGGCAAGATTTAGCTGATTACTGCGTATTTAGACAACCTGTGTGTATTATGTGTGGTGGTTCTTTGACCAGTGTTGGGTGGTTTGTTGGTTTGTTTTTTTTACTTTCAGTCCCATCAGCCTGAGACTGGCAGCTTTTCATTAGCTGCTCCTGCCTTTGCAGCAGCGATGGGGATGCGGAGCCTGACGGCAGTCTGTAACTTCTCCTGGTGCCCCGAAGCTCAACAGCATCAGCCGATTGACTCCGTTAGGGCCCCCGTCTCTACCAGCAAATGCAATCAATAAATCTTTGTTGGTAAATAATTGCTATTGAACAGAGTTTTAATATAAATTTATGAGTGGTGTTTTATCACAGCTTGAGGCTACGGCAAGCCACTGAGTGATGGATTTCAGATAGCACTTACATTCATTACATTAACTTTGTAAGTTATTTAAAGCTTGTACACTTAACATTGCTTTTGGCTTGCAATGACCTCCTGGGACTAGACGTAGCTTACACATTACTAATAAAGAGCTCGCAGTCCGTACAGACGGTTCCTCCGTTTGCTTTGTACGGTGACGCAGTTCCTCGAGCAAAGCCCAAGCAGGGAAGTTGGTGCACTCTGGTTGAAGTCTTTGTCCTGGGGCTCATTAAAAGTCCAGCTAGCTCGGTCTGGCAGAAGACGTGTTCCTCCGTTAGACGCAGAATTGCAATTTTGGAGGGAAGGTGGTAAAAAAAAAAGTTAATTTGAAGTGTGAAATTCTTCTCAGTTTGTGAGCAAATTGGAGGTGTTAAATTCTTAGTGTTGAATCTGGTGGCTTTCGGGGAGCGACACCAAACCGCGGGGCTAAAGTTGTGGATAGAAGGCTGAAACAAATGCAAGATTTCCTCCAAATTAGGAGAAATAATGTTATCTGAGTAATACTAGTTGGAGACAGAGATTACTTTGACAAAAAAAAAAGGGGGGGGGGGATTTTGAAGTAGAAGTTGATTTACTTAATCCATCTCTGCACGGCTTGGAGACTCGGTGTGATTTTTGCGATGTGCTGTGTGTACGTGGGGGCCTGTTTGGCCGTGACTGGAGATGTGCCCAAGCTACCTCTCAATTGCCTTGGAGGTACCGAAGATCAGTGGGAACCCATGGATCTTGTTTCCTAGGCAGAATATCTGATGTGACTTAAATGTAGACGTAATGTGACTGAAATCAAGGGCTTTTTCCTTTTTTTGAGTAACATTTCTTGTCATATCTGGGCCATATTTTTTTTAATTTTGTTCAAGTGCATTTATAACTGATCTAAACTCCAATACTAAAAGCATTTCTCCAGACCATTCTATATAATTACTGCAGACAAAGTGGCGGTCTCTAGCCTTGGGGAAGAGAAGAGTGTGGTTTGTATGAGCTTCTCTGCTTCCTAACACTTTGAGTTCACTCCTTCTATTCGGAGCAGTTTCCCTCACAAGTACTGGAAGATATTTTTAATTCTCACATAATACAAAAATCTGTTCTTTTTGCAGAGGTAGTGCCTAAAGACAATGGATTGGGAAGGCTGGTTTGTTAGTTAGGCACAAATAGGTAGATGGCATGTATTTAATAGGTAGATGGTACAGTTTTGGGTTTTTTTGACATGAAAGCACAGAATTACACTTTAAAAGCAAGGTGAAACCCCATTTTGATCATTTTCTTAATTTAGATCCAGAAAGAGAATTTTAGAATTCATACCTCTATATAGTAAAAATCATGGTAGTCATAGGTTTTATTGTTTATTGAGTTTATGATTGGCATGAATTGACAATTAGGTAAGTAATGACGTGTTTTATGTATAGCAAAGGGACAGTTAAAAAGGTGTGAAATCTATATATTTTACTTTCTTCAAAACTTCAAAAAAAGGCAAGGGGGAAAAAAAAAAAAATCACCATTGTGATCCTTACAGCTTTTTCCCCATTAAAAGGTCTGAAGAACAAACCAGTGCAGGGAAGCAGTAATTTTTGATCCCCACAGCACAGCGATAACTAGAATCGGGTCCCCCTGAACGCGAGCAAATGTGCTGCAGGTGAGGTATGAAAGATGGGAAAGGTGAAGCGACAGATCACCTACTATAGACAAACAGACGAGTCAAAGGCAGAATAAGCTTTCATTTTTTAATGGAAGAAAACAACGTCTCTAACCACTGGAAGACGGTAATTGGGATGTGTGACTCGCACTCGCAGAAGCTTTTGTAAGAAAGCAATTCAGAAACCCCATTTGCTCTTGTAAAAGTTTTGAGTTGTAGCAAGGAACAGCACCAAAAAAAAAATAAGGAATCTGACCCCCAGATGGTCAGAAAGTTCAGAGTTTGTACCGTTGCGTAGTTCAGTTGTCCAACACAAGCTTTTCCTTACGGTCCCGTCCACAGATCGCTTCGAATCGCAAAGGGTTGTTCTCCACAGCTTTATTTGAAGCGTGCCTCCAGGAGCAGGTGGTTGTGAGCATGGCTTTTCTGCTGGGAGCATCTCTGCGGTTGCCAAAGGGAAGTTGTTCACATGGGTTGTGGTGAGGGACTTCACCTGGAAGTTAGCTGGAATTTACCTGGCTCGGGAAGACTTCTGCTTGTGCAGAATTGCCTCTGGGCCCCTCATGGCTTTGGGATGGGGTCTGCAGAGAGATCGCTTCATAAAGCTGTGGGTTTAGTGGGAAAACAGGGAGCATCACTTGCTTTTAGGGGTTTTAACCCGCTTTAACAAAACAACTCCATGGGAGCTGGAAGCACCATGCTTGATAGTGCAGATTTCTGTGTTCTCATTTCACATTTTTTTAAGTTCCATGGAAACTGGAATGGAAAAACTCATTTTATGTGGATTAGAGAGCTGAGGTTTGTATGGGTTTAGATTCCTGGGTATGGTTTAAGGAAATGAATGAAGTGTCTGCTTGTGTCCAAACTTGACCCATGGAAGCAGTGAGGCCCTGTGGTGTAGGTAATGTACATAGCGCCTCCACCGGGACTTGCAATAACCAAGCTACTGTATGAATTCCTCGGGAATGGCCTTCTGACTTGGTTTGGGAAATTAAAATTTCCTAGGGAAGTGCGTTCCTAAAGCATGGCTTAATTTACCACCCTCAGTGTGCTACAGCACGTTAGGTTTTGCTTTTCCAAGTGACTTTCTGTTTTCAGGCTGAGGACAGGTTAACATGCAGTAGTACTCCTTGTCCATTTAACCATGCTGATGAGTTTTTATCTCAACCGTTGGTTGTTAGCGTTTATCACTGGTGTTTAGGGTGAATATGATTTGTGCAGAGGTCATTTACCTTGTCCACCTCCTTTCCTCTTTTGGTCGCATCTTTATTTAAATTACCCAGAATTAGTTGGAAAAAGTTTGTATTTGCCCTGTTTTCATTTTGCTGCTCTTGCCTGGAGTTGGTGTCTGTTTTGCTGGCATGAATAGCCGGGAGGATTTCCAGGGACAATGAGGAACCCCCAGGAATGTGCTGAACGGACACACAGTGGGATCCTCACTCAGCCTGAGGCTCATCATTTGTTTTGGAGGGCTAGGAAAGGCAATGAGTGTGGTGTCTTTAGCAGCTGGGAGTGCATATGGATAACTTTCCTCTGCGTCACATTAAAACGTGCTTTCCTGAGGCACAGAATTCAGTGTAAAAGGGTTTTGTGTCCCCGTTGGACAAAGCCAGTGTTGATACAGTCTTTTCTCTTTACATGGCTGGCTTTATGAAAGCTACGCTTGGAGCTTTTCCTCCTAAATTACAAATGCTGAAGCTACCAATGGAGAAAACATGCATCATGGGAGAAATAGGGGAAAATGCGTGACTTGCAGGAGAAGGTGTATCTAAAAACGTTGGCAATTATATTTATGTCTTTCTCTGTCTTAAATAGTTGTGCATTGGAAAAGGGGTGTTTAATCTTTTTTTCCTTTTTCCTCCAATAGGGTATGCTGCTAAAGCGAAGTGGCAAGTCGTTGAATAAAGAGTGGAAGAAGAAATACGTGACGTTGTGCGACAACGGCGTGCTGACCTACCATCCTAGTTTACATGTAAGTACACGGTGCTCTCTGTACGTTCAGCAACATCGGGCCCTGATAAACCAGTGTTAGCAAGTTTGTCCTGACATGGTTTTGTTGAGCCCTCTTCAGTGGAGGAGCTTCTTTCTCTCTCTTCATTCCCCTCCCTCTCAAAAAGGCACAATCTGAAATAAAGCACAAGTCTGAGTACAGTCAAGTTCCTTCGAATCCCCTAGAACTGGGCTTCCTTTGCATCCCAAGAGGCAGCTGAAGCCTGAAAAGGTTTAAGCCTTTATTTTGTGCTGGTGCTTTTTGGACTTCTTGTCAATCCCAGGATTGAAAAACAAAAGCATTTTACAAGGAAGAGCATTCTACATGTAGTAAAGAGTGAGGAAAGTTTTCTGGTATTTGCCAGTGTGCAGTGGTGAGCAGCCTTTTGAAAATGGCGTAGCTGTTAGAATATGTGCCATAAAACTTTGTCACGTTAAGGCGTCTGTCGCTTTCTCTGCCCAAGGATCCCATCTGTCCCTCTCAGTGAGTGTAGCACAGTCCCTGGGTACGGTTTTGGGGGTGGAAGGAGCACAGTGGTCTGACTCAGAACTAGCCCACCCCATCTGCCCCAGCCATGCCAGCAGAAGGGAGGGTGATGTTTGCCAGCTCCTTCCATGCCAGAGCAGTTCAAAGGCAGAGCCAATGTGGAGACTCCAGATCTTGAAACTCATGGGTGATTCCCAGTTCCTTCACTTGCTCTGTAGTATGAGGCAACAGTAAAATACAAAAACCATACTGTTACCCTCACCAAGATCTTTGGAATTGTATCTGGTCTTTTATTTTATCATCACATATGCCAGTCGGAGAGTGGCCAGCTGTAACATTTCAGGGCTGGTTGTTTCTAAACCTATTGGTGTCATTTTGAGCTCCTGGGCAGATTTTCATTAAGGAGTGAAGACCAAGGTTTCGAATGGATGCATTTCTCTAGATGTGCTCTGGGGCTTATAGACCTGCACATGGATCTGTCAGGAAACTTCTACTTTAGGTGGGTGATGTCTGAGGAGCGTGGCCACACTGATGCTGTGCTTGCACCAGCTTTGCTGTTCCCTGTCCGCTGGATATTAGCACTTTCTCTGGTTTGACACAAGATTTCGTAGTCTCGAACCCTACCATAGTGGTGCTTCTCTACAGTTTCTGATGTTACTTCCATGTCTCTTAAAATTATTTAATAAGGTAACAACTAACTTTAAGGCATCATTGCTTTCCATCAGACATCTCATCCGTTGAGTTCTGGAGCAAGGTTTTGTCCAGCTTTTCACTGTTCCCTGTTGTGGCACTGGGACAAGTCTGTCTGGCCTCTTTGGCCATTGTTTAATTTTGGGGAATTCTGTTGTGAAATAGTCCTGAAATACCCAAATTGCAGCTTGGTATTGCTCACAGAAGGGAGGCAGAGATACTGCATGCCTTTGAGGCAGCTCCCGCGGAGCTCCCCCATGAGTTTGCCTTGGATTGTGTTGGCCAACCCATGGTCATAGAGCGAGGAGGAGGCAAGCTGCCATTGTCCGCGCCCAAGTCCCTTCCTGGCTTTGTAGCGGTGCTCTATTGTTCCTGGCAGTTGCTGTGCACGTGTTGGTTTTTCATTGCCTCTCGCAGACAATAGAGTACTTCTTCTCTGTAGGCTTCCCTGGAGCTGCTTAGTTTGCCCCCCGCCCCCGAGCGAGAACCCGTTGAGATTAGAGGTAATTACTTTGAGATTAGAGGTAAATCCATGGGAGATCAGAGAGAATCCATTTAAAGAAGAAGTAATTACTAGCCTGTAATTGTTTCGCTCTATCCCCCACCGCACCCCCTCACCCCCAAGAAAAAGGTACCCAGCTCTGTATTTCCATGTGCGCAGACCAGAGAGTTTTTCACATGCCGCGGCTCCCTGGGCTGTACGTGCGTAGATGGTGGTGAGGGACCTTACTCGGCTTCTGGAGACACCTTTGCTGAATCTACTCTCTAGGAATATCTAGGGTTCTGCTCACTTGTGCTAAAATCTTACTATGATGTGACTTCTCTTCTAAATTATGCTGGTTTAATGCTTTATTTCTATTGCCTTTAGCCTTCACAGAGTCACTGCACTACTTCTCCAGTACGTTTCCATGCTGCCTATGGACTATTTCTTGGCAGTTAACTGTTAATATACCCTGCAGAGCGTTTGTCATCCATCAGGCAGTAGGACGTGAGTAGCATCTTCTCTGCCCTGTGCAAACCACAGTGGGAGGAGGAGGCAGGACCAGATATTTGAAGTCAATTGCACTTCCCGTGCAGTTTGTACAAAACTTTGTAGGCGGGAAAGTCAGAATTTCTTCTTGGGTATTGACAGGTGAATGGGTTTTCCCCCAAAAGGGACTCTGATAATGTGTTTCTGGTTTGGGTTTGATAGTTGTTGTTTATCTGTCGCTTGTTGCTTTTTACATAGCAAGCCAACAAAACTGATGAATTTTTACTACTGTGCTTGCATTGCTGTTTGGGATAATTTCTTACATTGTTTTGAAAAATAAGGACCTTATTCCCACCAACCTTTCCATTAAATAGCATTGAAGAAAAGAGCTTTTGTATAACACTCTAATGTCAGTTTCCTAAACTCATAAAAAGCCTGGCTCTAATCTAACCTGTTAGGTTTGGGTTATCTCAAGTATGCAAAACATTTTGGTTTTGCAAAATTTTGCAGCTGTAATTCTGTGAAGCGAAAGGTGGGCTGGCCTCTAGTGGTGGCAGAAGAAGTAAATTTAGAAGATAATTTGGTCTTTCCAGACTGTGGTTCGAGTCAGAACATAACACCTGCCTTGGAAGAACCTATTATAATACTTAATAGCTGATAGTGAACACTGTTAAATAGTGCTTGAGATCTGGCCAGAAGCGGATCAGTTGTCTCCATCAGATGCATTCAGCAGCAGCTCAGGCATGAAGGCAGTGGTTTTAGTACAGAGAACGTGTCCGTATTGCAGAAATCCCTACTGTCATCTTCTTTGAAAGGATTGGCTACGGAATGAAAGGTTTTGGGATGGGGAGTGAAAATCAAATTAGTACCTGTCTTACAGAGGAGCTAGCCCTGGAAGGGTCAGGCCTGTTTGGCAGGGCAGCGTGTTGAAATGACGACTGTATTGTGCCAGCTAAATGAGTAACTACTAATGCCACCACGTTGATGCTTGACACAATAGCTAAATTCATATTCCTTCCTTTCAAGAAAGTGGGGGGAGAGAAAAACGGGGGAAGAAGAATACACGTACATAAGCACCCTACTGTTTTCTGACTTGGTCATGTCAGGTTTTTTTTCAAGAACCTGAAACCTTCCCATCCCTTGGGATGCTGAGGAGCTGTGCCGATAGAAAATGGTGGGGATAATGAGAGAGAACTTTGACCCGCAGGCTTCAAAGTTCACCAGAGCTGCCTATTCATCTTACGCTTCTGGAGTACAGCCGTTGAGTGGATGACTAAAATTCTGGCCGACAAATTCAGCGTCAGCCTCCCCAAAGGGACCCTAGGGAATTTGTCGAGGCATCCCTTGGCTTTTAATGGCAGAATGCCATGTGCGAGGGCTCCCGAAATGCATTCACCAGGATACCTGCTGGGCAGCGTTACAGGCTGCTGCTTTATCTGAGCCTTATCCCCATGAATAGCTGATAGTGTCTCACCACTGTCTGCCTGCCAGAGGGTTGCCATCGTGCCACAGGTCAGTAGATGACAAAGCTTTAGCTGCAGATGACAGTTTTCTGCTCTTCTATCCCCATCATCATCACTGCCCCATCTATGAAAAGAAGAAAAAAGAAAAAAGCTGAAAACAGCATTTTTAGGGAAGGGTGCTTCTTCCCATTTTATATTTAATCTGTTCTAGATTTGATTTCAAATAAAAGCACAGCACTGTGGCACCTTATGGGGGAAGAACAGCTTCTTAAATACCTGAGAAGGGAGGTCTGATGCCCATTTGGAACACGTGTGGTGTGTAAATCCCACATACCTACGCAGCGAGGTCGATATTTGCTTGCTGAGGTCTGTATTGCAGTAATGCCGCACTTGAACCTTGCTCCCATCCTCACTCGTCTGGTTTGATGACCTGTGCTGAGGTGTGTAGGACGGTAGCAGTGGCTGTGCGTGGGAAAACCTACCGTCATCTCCTTGAGAAGTGTGTGGGTTCAGCCAGTCTGCTCAGTTCATCTGGCAGTAGCCACAGTTTCAAAACTCTTCCTTAAAAATAGTGCTGACTTGGGTGAGCAACCTGCGTGAGCTAGCTCAACGGGAGCATTAGCAATGGTCTATCCTCAAACAAACTGAAAGTTGTTGTTTTTTCTTTAAAAAAAAAAAAAAAAAGCCAAATTCCAGCCTGGAAAGGCATCATGTTCAACGCTAGGCTAAACTTTGTGCAATATATTGTACGGACACATCTTCTCTACAAAACAGACCCACTTCATGGGCTTGTAAAGTTCTTCAAGACTTGGGATGAGGGACTAGGCTTTCAGTTGAGCTTTCTTGCTTGGTCGTTTCCTCCAGGAAAAGCAGACGGGGTGAGAAATGGGAGGCTATTGAAGGTGCCCTGCCTGTTGGCATCTGGAAGTGCTGCAGATCCCTGCCCTTTTCTCAGGTCCCATAGTACAGCATTTTTCTTAGGGCTGCAGTTGAAATCTTTGACTACCGTTAGTCATTTATGATTTTCCTGAATAATTTGAAAACGGGAAGCGTGCTTGCACATGAAGTATCCTGCCTCTCCTCATTTTTAAGAGGACACAGCACTCGCTGGGCTCCATGGCATCGGCAGCAGGGCTGGGTGCTGCTCTGGCCACGGGAGCAGCACTCGCCTTCATGGTTACGAATAACTGCCTACAGGCATCATTGCAGTTCAGCCTGATCTTCAGGCTTGTGTTACCTCAGGCTGTTTGATAGCTCCGAAGTGTGTTGTTTGCATTGCTCTAATAGAAGTATTCATGTTCTTATATATTTTGAAAATACCATCGTGTGTGCCCATTTTTTTCTCCCCCTGTTTTTGCTTCAAAGGAATGTAA